CAGGGTGAACTGCATTTGTCATGCCTCAAAATTCCAAAGTAGTCTTTATGCTTCATGAAAGTTTGCTTAAAATTGCCTTAGTTTATCCACGTAATAAATTATTAAGGAAATTATTGAAGTACAATAATGTTTCTTTGAGCTACTTGTTCATTCACAATACCAATAATGCTTTCTTCTCGCTTCCCTAACTTCATCTTAACAATCACTACTTCAACAGAAATCAAAGAGCAATGTCTTTACTGAAGAATTCTTTAAACAATGAAGAGAAGTTCTTTAAGATGAAATAATTTTCATTTAAACCAACTTACATTTTACCCTGCACATTGATTCTAGAGAAATTAAAGTGGATGTTCACAGAGGAATATGTATATTAATGTTTATGGGAACTCCATTATAGCTAAAAAGCAGAAACACCCCATGTGTCCTGCAACAGGTAAATGGTTAAACACGCTATAGTATACCCAGTTAAAAAAAAAAAAAACTACTGGTACACTCAGTAACCTTGATGAGTCTCCAGAGAATCATGCTCAGTGATAAAAGCATTCCCAAAAGGTTACAAACTATATGATTCCATTATTTGAAATGACAAAATTATAGCAATGTAGAACAGATTGGTGGTTTCCAGGGGTTTAGGATGGGAGAAGGACAGAGGAGAAATGAGTGTGCATATTAAAGGTCAAAAATAAGAGATCTTGTGATGGAAATTCTCTGTATCTTGACGGTACCAATGTCCATTTCCTGGCTTGATACAGTACTGTAGTTTTGTAAGATATTGTTGAGGGAAACTAGATAAAAGGATCTCTATTATTGAGCTACTTGTTCATTCACAATACCAAATGCTTTTTTTTTTTGCTTTCCTAACTTCGTCTTAACTATAGATTAATATACAGAAGGACTGATTTGAGATAACAAATCAAAAGTTTATTTACTGTCCACTATTTATTCCATCTCCTTGTAACAACCTCCTGATGCTTCTTGGAAACACTTCTTCCTATTTTCAGTCCATGTGGTTCAGATGGTCAAAGACAATCTTGGGCTTCTGCATGGATATGTAATTCATACCTCACCGATGAGCATAGTCCATCTCTTTGACCATAATGATTGATTCAGAAATACTCATGCGATTCACACTGGTGTAACGATACTTAATCCTAGGAATGTAACAGTTGGGGAAGAAGAGGAACCTGTCTACTGATATGGCTTAGTTTTGTCAATGACAAAGCTCCAACTGATAGGGTCCACCGCATAGAGGTGCTCATCAAAGAATGAAGCCCATGCAGAGGAGAGGAAAGCTAAGCCATAGCTAGACAAACTTGAGTCTTGATAACATGGATTCAACCATGTCTGAAGCTAGTATAATTTCTTGTACTTTTCAAATACAAACCAAAAAATACCCTATTTGCCTAAGTATTTTTTAAAGTTCAATTAAGAAAAATTTTCAGTGAAGATTAGAATCATACTCAGTACATAACAAAGATAAGTATTTCTATAAACAATGTAGTAAAGTTTGAGATACTTGGCAGCATAACAAAACTTTTATTAACTCACTATTAAGAATTCTGTTTTATACTTTTATGTCATATTTAATGTTCTTCCTCTTCTGATCTTGGTGTCCCACTATTATCTTGAACAAAATTTTCTGATGTATGCTGAATTTTGGTTTTGCATGTTTTTTTGGGTTTTTTTTTTTTTGCTGGGGTTTACATTTGTATTGATTTGTAAGAGATTTTTGTATATTCAGGATAGCGTGCCTCTGTCACATATGAAAAATACTTTTTATTTCAACCTCACTTGCAATGTTTATTCTATTCAGAGTATTTAATTTTTAGAATTATATTAATTATTGTTTTTGTTTTGGCCTTTCATGTCATGCTTAAGAAAAGTCGTTCTTACCTGAATATATGCTTAAATATGCTTAAAATCCCCCCATATTTTCTTCAGTCATTTTTGCAGTTTCTTATTTTTAACAAGGATGAATAACATAAAAGACCACCATAAGAATGATATTTTCCCCAGGTGATTATGTTGCACAAACATTTTCTCCACTAATGCATTTTCCCCCAACCAATCAAGATGGTAACTCTCTAATACGCTAAATCCCTGAACATACTGGGGTCCAAGGATAGATATTTTCAATCAGTATCATATTGTTTTAATTTGAGAAATTTTATGATGCATTTTGTACCTGGTAAAGCAATACTTTACTTTTGTTTTCCAGAATTCTTCCAGCTAGTCTTACGTGTTTATTCAATTTAAAATTTAGAATGTTTTTGTCAAGTTCTTTTCCTTCTTTGCCACAACAAAGGGGGATTTTCTGTGATATTACAATTCACATAAACAAACAAAATTGACTTTCAAAAAATTAAGCTTAATTTTTCTAAGGTATTTCTCCATTTCTTCAAATGTTTTGTCATCTTCTCAAATCTTTGTTATATTATCCTATAGAATTTTATGATTTCATTCATCTAGTTCCTGACATTTCCTGTCAACTACTTTTAAATATTAGATACTTGTAAGTGAAAACAAAATGCTTTCCCTTCATATTTTCTACATAAGAACATAGTATATCAGAAAGCTACTTGTTTTATACGTTTATTTTATAACCACTTACCTTAATGAATATCCTTGTATGCTTAAATTTTTCATGTCTGTAATGTATGTCAGTTTTCAATATATTTAAAGACGGATCGATTTAAAATAGTTTAGGAAACAACTGTATCATTAACATAATTTAAAATTTAAGAAGTGACCACAGGTTTAAAATACACCAATAAAAATATATGCAAAAGAATCCTCTGGGTTGGGATATGTTGTCTTCCAGAATTTAAATATTAGAAATAGCAAGAAAACTTGTCATTTTATAAAGCACTCACTATTTTCAGAGTTCTTTCTCTGGACCCATCATATAACACTGCTAGCCCCTTCCTTGGTATTTTTCAAAAAGAAAAAAAATAAGCACACTATAGTGATAGATACATACCAATATTTATAGCAGCCCAATTCACAATAGCCATGTTATGGAAGCAGTTTAGGTGTCCCTCAATAGAGGATTGAATAAAGAAAATGTGGTATGTATACACAATAGAGTTTCATTCAACCATAAAGAAGAATGAAGTTATGTCTTTTTGCTGGTAAATGGATGGAACTGGAGATCATAATGTTAAGTAAAATAATCCAGACTCAGAAAGTCAAGGGTCAAATGTTTTCTATGTGGAAGCTAGAGAAAAATAAGAAATTTTTAAAAGGAAGAGCTCATGAAAATAGAAGAGAGAACCGTGGAGGAGAGGAAGGGGGCTGAGAGGGAAGGAGGGAGGGTTGGGAAAGGGAGGAACTGCACAATGAAATCCACCAAACTATGCTATGTTCAGGTTTGAATATATCACAACGAATTCTACTTTCATACATAACTATAATGCACCAATTAAAAATATCAAATTAATAGAAGGAAGACCTATAGAGTAGAGGAAGAAAACCAGGGGAAAAAGAAAGGGAAGGGGTAGTACTGATGATTGAAATGGAGCATTCATGAATATTTCAAAATGAACCCCATTATGTATTATAATATGGATAACTATACTACATTAACAAAATTTTTAAAAAGAAAAAGCAAGGAATTTGGTGACTTATAAAAGCATTCACTGAAGTATCATTTTGTTTCTCCAACAAGAGCATGCCCTTCCCATAGAGGAGTTGCTCCAATAAAATCCACTCTTTTTTTTAGTGACACTCAAAAATCAAATATCACAATTCAAAAATCAGAAAGAAAAAACATCTGATGCTTTTGTCACATTTTCTCTTACCGGGTTCACAGCATATGATTAACAATGCACATAAACTTGGTGCTATGATTTTGTGTATAGATAATAATTGAAATCCATTAAACTATCCTTTTATGGTTGATGTTTTGTCAGCCAAACATCTAGCAGATTCTTTTTATAGAAATATGATTTTATCTGCAATGTCCTGAAATGTGTTTTTCCAGCTATTTAGCTTCAAGCTTATGCTAATTACTAGGCATTATCTCACAACTTCTGGGGCACACAGAAACATTAAAATCCTACCTTTCCCAAGAAGCATTTCTTGAGGGTGAGCCAATTGAATTCCTATAGCATTCCCTGCAGGTATTAATCAAATTATAGGGTTTTTAAAAAACCTTCTTTTGTAATGAATTTTACCTTCCATATGTATTTATCTCCCAACAACACTGGAAAGTTTCTTTCAAGGAGTAAGAAGGAATTCTATTTTTGAGCTCTGACTACATGCCAGACTATTCTAATTGCATTGAGTACATTTACTCAGGGTAACTATTAGTTATTGACAGTCATATCTCCTAAGATACTTACCTCAATGCCTAGTAAATGAAGTTACTTGTTACCTATTTGGCTGTTAGTATTTTTCTTAATTTCCATCTAAGTGAAACAAAAGTTTCTTTATCCTTACTTTACGTTGCCAATTTGACAATAAAACTTCATTGTTAATCAAGAAATGTAAGAATTTTTTTTTAGATCAGTCAGTTTTTATTAGTGTTAAATTTTCTCAAAGAAACACACTAAGCTACCACAGAACCCTGCTGAAAATATGAAACATCCATTTGTCCCTTTATAGCAGTTTTTGACCACTAATAACTTAATAGCATTAGTCACCCCTTCATTTTCTTATTGATTCTTTTAAAGAGACATAGATTAGTGTCTGAATCTCAGAAGATCAAAATCCTTTATGTGTACACATAAAGTGAGACTAATAATAATAATCACTCAGTAAATGGTTGCTATGTGTCAGGTATTGAGCTAAAAGTCTTACTTGTATAAGTTTGTCTAATTATGACAACAGGTTGATGCTATCACCATTCCTATTTTAATGATGAGAAACAGTCTTGGAGTAAAGTCAGAATGCAAAATTTTGAGATTATATATTATATATAAAATATATAAATATATAAAAATATATAAATATATATCCTAAGAACTAAGTCTCCACTACTGGAAGGAGTGAATTATGTACCTTCCTAGTGAACTTCACCAGAAATCAGGGGATATATGGAGAGCAGTTATTGACTGGAATCAGAAGCTAGGAGAGTGGAAATGAACTCTCACTGGAAATACTTTCAGAAACATCTCATTGAAACCCCACAACCAGCCTGCCGAATCACTTTGTTCTTATTTGATATATGGGAATTGGCTCAAAGTCACACATCCAGGAAGTCGCAAAGACAGACCCAAACCCAGGACTTGTAGATGCAAATCTGACTTGCCCACTTAACTCAGGTTCACAGACATGGCATCAGTGATGGTAAAATGTGTCCCTCACAGTGGCACCCACAACCTCCTGGAGGCTCACACAATCCATGGTGCAGTGCGACTCCAACTTGCATCAACCGAAGAAACTGCTGATCTCCACTTTCAGGTAAAATAAAACATCTCATTATAGTATATTTTCTTTTATATCTGCATTTCATTCTGGATATCAAGAAAATGCCAATCAAACCAATTAAATTTTTAAATTGTTGTAAATAACTTTTATTCCATTTGATATTTCATACACTTATACATTTTATAAAATTCATCACCTGCTCTAAAATAATGCAGATATATAAATTATTTCAGATTATTCTAGAATAATCACCAGGGGTTATTTATTTATTCATTCATTTTAATTTCAATGGCTTTCCAAACCTCTTATAGGCTCTACAAGGACTGACTTGCTCTGGGCCATGACTACATGGAAGACACAAGTATGTTCCTCCAGTATTCTTTGTGTTCGGCTTATGCCTCCATGTCCCCTGAAGTCAGACAGGGAACAATTTTGGACATGGGACTATTTTGTATGTACTAAATCATTAAAACTCACAATATTGTATGCATTCTGTATTTTCTCAGACTCTGTTTCATAGATTCTCTATTTGTACATCACAAGCTAATTACACAAACTATATTGTTCGTGTTCTTGATGCTCTGGCATTTAGGAGCCTCACAGACCCAGGAGGGACCACCCATCGTAGGCTTCCTAGGGCCAGTAAATTCTGAAAGATGATAGTAAAGGGCTTGGCCAAGAGCACAGTTTTCAAATAGAAACCAAGCATTTCTGCATCTGTAGACCCAACCTCCTTATCTAACTCTTACAAGCCAAACCAATATTTCCCCTGTCCTAAATCATCCCAGTTACCAAGCAACTAGTGATCCTGTAGCCTAAAGCCCACTAGAATTAGTCAAACTGGCTAATCCTAAACTGTTTGCTCTGCTTTGCTCTCACTTTTCCATAGAAACCTCAAGGAAGGTTCTGACCTTGACTTTCCTCTTGTTCCTTTCTTCTGCGTCCTGCATGACACGGGTGCTTTCCCCTGTGTGTCATGTGCTGATTCCCTTTCTGAGCTCTGTCAATAGATATCTTTGCAAGCCTTGTTCTTGTTTCCTCCTGTGGCTGCAATGACTTTACCATACCACAGCCAACATACACATTCTTAGAATAGTAGGTGGTATTTTTAACCTCATTTGAGAGATGATGAAACTGAGGCATAGCAAGTTTAAACAAGATAACATAATGAGCCAAGATTCTAAGCCAGGCAAGCCAACTCCAGACAGCAATAAAAGAGGGCTTTGTCTTCTTCCTTGCTCCATCGCCACCCTCCCACCCCCACCTTTGCTGCACCTGGAATAGCACCTGGCTTGATGGTTTTTCTTTGCATTTAGTTGGTATACTACAAGGCCACTTCTGTATTTTTAGTGTTATCAAAAAGCAATAGCCATAGATGTACTTGAATTGGCAGTCTTCTCTGCTTTACTATTATAAACCCTACTTTCATTTAAGTTTTACCCAGGCTTCTCATTTCTAGCTCTCAGATTTCCAGATAACTTTCTATGGTTGGCTTCCTGGTCTTCTATCCAAAACATCTCTCAGTATTGTTGCCCAGCTCTGACACAAATCTAATCTTATTTTCCTGATGTACATAGGAAAAATAGGAAGCCAGGGAGACTGCCCGTGAAGTTCATTCACAAGGACAGGTAAAGTGGCAAAGTGGCATTCAGGAGATGAGAGTTTCCCCCCCCCCTCTCTCTAAGCAATACCATGTTGAAGTCACCTGTATTTTAAAAGATCAATATTTCAACTACTCCCCCCAAACCCCATGATTTCTGCTTCATCCATGTAAACTAATCTAGCAATGATCTGCTGTACTATTAGATATTATATTAATGTAAAGAACAAACAGAGCAGAGATGATTAGCAGCATATTAAGGTAGTTCCCCCAGAGAAACATATCTCTGTATGTAATCAGGGCCTCTAAGCTACCCTTTGACCTCCATAAGTAACCCTAATATTAACTCATTCCCCAGTGATCCTTTGGAAAAAGATTAGACTACATAGAGAAGAATTTGAATGTTTGCTCTAGATTAAGATTTTAAAAAAAGGTTTCTGACTGATAAACATGCACTTGTTCCTAGAAACCAGTTTTGCCTTTAGTATATTCTACTTTAATCAAAATTATATTTGGGGTAAATATTTGTTCCCCCCACCAAGTAGAAAAATAGTATGTTAGAGAAATACTACCAACATCCCAGTCTCATATTTCCAAAAAGAGCTTTTAATATAACACTTACTTCAGCTTCCACAGGTATCCTGTGTTTTCCCAAAAAAGAGAGGAGACAGATGATTAGGCAGATTGAAATGAGGGACTTTTGTCCTTCTATATTTGTTCTTTCATAGCTACAGAAAAAAAAAGAGCTTCCATTAGGATAACAGAGCAGACTGGTCCCCATGAAAATATTTTTGGGCTCCTAAGGGAACGTGGACTAACAAAACTCATTGGAGAGCTTTGTATTCAGACCCACATTCTTTCCAGATCTTCAGCCTCAGATTTTATTTTTAAACTGGCTTCCCCCTTCTCTCATTTCTCATTGCCATTGGCCATGTCCTCCAGATAGTAACTTCAGGTGGTAAATGCACACAGATGAAGGCCCAAAATCCCTTCTTGGAATGCCTTCTCCTATCTCAACTGCTAGGTTCAGCCGAGATGAGCCAGTACTTCTGAGTCTGGTTCCTTTATGTTATTCTTACAGAGCATCCCGAAACATATGCTTAGAGGAAAATAATAAAAAGTTTTCCACTGCTATGGAAATTACTAAGCTATATACTCCAGTCCAGGCTTACTCACTCACCATTTGATCCTTACCTGTTTCTCAACTAGTTCTAGACTCAGAGAGGATTTATAGGACAAGAGTAATAATCCTCCACCACTTCAAACTTTAACAAAGTCCTCTCAAAAGGTAATTTAAACAGTCATAAAAATGTTTCTTTTAACATCTACCTTGTGATACTAAAGAAGAAAAATAAAACCCCTGAAACCCAAGTTTCCCAACACCTTCCTATATTTAAAATTGATTCTGATGACATCAGGTAGAGCTATATGCCCACATTCTATCTAATTGTACTTCATTCTTGAGACCACAGAATCCTAGAACTGAAAATAACTTTATGCACTACTGAGTAAATATCTTGCACAACGTGACAAAGCTCGTTGTACACAGAGCTGGCCTTCTCATTCCCAGCTGGGTTTTTTCCCAGTAGACTTCCTCTAACATTTTATGGTGAGCTAATGCTGTGTATGTATTCATTCCTTTTTTTGTTTAACATGTGAAAGAGATGCTTTGTGATAGGAGGTAATGTGGGCATCATATTAGAACTTGAAGCCAAATCAAAGAAATATCAGCATTCCTTTCATTTCTTTGATGAAAGAACCGAATCCTCTAAATAACACAGCTTAGTTAGACTCCAGTGTTCCTGAGTTCTTACCTATGCAGGATCTTTCCCACTGCACATTTGTACTTCCCCAGGCAGGGATGCTCATTTTAATCATTGCAAGTCAAAATTGAGGTTCCATTTATTTCTGATTGACCAATAGCAGAGAAAACAGTAGATATTTAATCTACTGAATGATAAGGAATACATTACTATGATTGTCATGTAGCTCTCTACATAGACCATTTTAGTGATTGACATGAATTAGTTTCTTCCTAAAACTTACCATATACCTTTTTGGTAATAAGATTTCCTATCCAAGCATATAAAGCATTTATATAGAACACCAATTTCATTTCTTAGGTAGAAAACAGTTCAGTGATAAATGCTGGTGAAAACCATTAGTCATGTGAAACCGTATTAAGTTGTTTTAGTAATGAGACAGGGACTGCTTAATGAAGCATGTTTCAATAATAAATAACAACAATAAAGAAAAAAATTACTGCTTTTCTGCTACACTGGACATTTGCCACACATCCCAGTGCACTGGAAATCAAAATTGGAAAATATTTTATTGTTAGTATATACATAAAGAGATAGAAAATTCTTAAAAGAGGTCAAACTACATTTTGGACATAATCTTTTAAAATAGTCTCACTTCGAATGCAAGTATGTGAACTGCATAAGTGCCACATTCATTATACATTCATTTGGTGTCTCTGCAGAATGGTAATGTGAATGCTAAGACTCCCACACGGTTGTAATGCTTCAGAAAGAATTTACTCCAGACGTTGTGGTTATTTTCACAGAAAATGCTAGGATGGATGAAGTGCTGATCTGCCTAAGATCTGCCAGTGTGCATCCCAGGCTTGAGGCCTCTAATATAATCTGAAAGCCAATGTCCTCCCAAATTCATATACTGAGATCCTAAGCCACAAGGTGATGGTATTAAAAGAGGCTTATGGTAGGTGGTTGAGTCAAGAGGACAAATCTTTCATCAATGGGATTAACACCCTTAGAAAGGGAACTCAAGGACTGAGGGTAAAGGGTTTTCCCAGCAAGTGCAAGGTTCTGGGTTTAATCCCCAGGACTATAAAAATAAAATAAAAGGGACCTCAAGAGTATTATAACTAGACATTCTTTCACCACAAAGGTGCCATCTATGAATCTGGAACTCAGCTCTCCCCAGATACTGAATCCTTCTGAGCCTTGATCTTACACTATCCAGTCTCCAGAACTGTTAGAAATAAATGTCACTGTTTATAAGTAGTCTATAGTGTTTTGCTATAGTATCCCTAATGCACCAAGATAGGCTTCATCTTTAGAATGTAATATTAAAAGAACTTGTAATATTTATTGAGACCACCACAGAAGAACACAGACCAAGATCCCAGGGATGAATCTTCAATAGGACCAATGAATAAACTGCCCTCTAAAATATAAGTCACCCTCTTAGACTGAAGTTCTCTGTGGCATGCTATTCACCACTGTCTATCCAACACAACCTGGAAAAAGATGGCCCTCCATATTTGTATCCCCTTTCACTACCCTGTATCCTTGCCTTTTTCTGAGCAGCTTCCCTACTTAATTTCTTCTTTTCTACTTCTTCTACCTTTTGGTTCTTCCAAATTTTGCTTTCAAACTCAAAACAGAAGAACTGTGTCTGTATGTTCTTGCTGTTATATAGAATCTTACACCAAGAAGTTCTCAAATACTTGAATGAATCAGTTATTGAATACATACTCTTAACCTATGAAATGAAAGTTAATAGAACCCCTTGGACAATGTTTAATTACATCCCAATTCTGATATTGGGCAGCACTGGATATGGCTGGCCCACACTGACCTGTGCAGGACCCAGGCTTAGAGTAGGCCCAGGCCCATCCTGCCACTGGCAGACACCCACCAGAGCTCAGGCCCAGCTCAGATCTACCCAGACCCACATACATGGGACTGAAGCCCAGAGTGAGCTCTGGTCCATCTCGCCACCTCCAGACACCCACTGGAGCTCAGGCTCTGGAACAGGACCACTTCTTTTAACTAGAAGACAACCACTAGAGCTCAGGCCCTGCCCAGATCCACCCATACTGACCTGCATGGGACTCAGGCTCAGAATAGGCCTGGGT